CCACTACGGCCACTACGGTGAGATGCCCAACGCTAAGCAAACCACTCACAAAGTTGTTGGGGTATAAGGGTCTCACGCGGACGCTGCTGCAGCTGCATCTGGCCACCGCCAAAAACTCCCCACCGAACAGCTCCACAGCGACTGCTACGACGGCCGCCACCGTCGCCACCACTCCCACCGCTGCCGTGAAGAGAAGTCATGCGACCAGCAGGGCAGCACATAGGGAAGGAAGGGCGGCGAGGAGGCACTACGGTAGGTTGGGGCGGTGCACGGTCAAGGAAGGGCGGCACGCGGCCAGAGCAGGGCTGCACGCTACTAGAGCAGGGCGGCGCGCGGCTAGAGGAGGGCGGCGTGCGGCCAGAGCAGGGCGGCGTGCGGGCAGAGCAGGGCTGAGCGCGGCCAGAGCAGGACGGCGCGCGGCCAGAGCAGGGCGGTGCGCGGCTAGAGCAGGGCAGCGTGCGGCCAGAGCAGGGCGGCGTGCGGCCACAGCAGGGTGGCGCGCCGCTAGTAGCTGGTAGTAGCTCCTAGGGCAGAAGCACCAAGGGATTTTTTTTATTAATTAATCTTTTTATTTATTTTAGGGTTTAGTAGGACGCACAGGGCGCTGCAGAGGCGGCTCGGGCAGGGCAGAGCAGGGCGCCAACGCGCGCAGGGCAGCGTTGGCAGGGCAGGGCGCTAGCGCGGGCAGCAGCGTGCATGGGCAGGGCGGCGCTGGGCAGCGAGTGCAGGCCCGCGGCGGGCGCAAAACGCAGGCACGGTAGGCGCAAGGGGCGGGCCCGCGGCGGGCGTAGCGGACCAGTGACGGGCTTAACGGGTAGGCGCGGCGGCGCGAAGGCAAGGCCCATGGCAGGCCTAACGGGCGGGGGTGGCAGCGGGCGTAACGGGCAGGCGCGGCTGCGCGAAGGGAAGGCCCGCGGCGGGCCTAACGGGCAGGTGGTAGGGCGCAACGCGCGGGCTGCAGTAGAGCACGACGCGCGGGGCAGCAGAGCGCAACGCGCGGGCTGCAGCAGGGCACGACACGCAGAGCAGCAGGGCACGGGGCAAGGCAGGGCGTGCGGGAGGCAGCCGGACGCAGGGCAGGGCAGGGCGTGCGCGACGTTGGGCTGGGCAGGGCGTGCGCGATGCAGCGCGACGCGGGGCAGGGCAAGGCGTGTGCGGGGCAGCGCGACGCGGGGCAGGGCAGGGCGTGCGCGAGGCAGCGCGACGCGGGACAGGGCAGGGCGTGCACGAGGCAACGCGATGCGGGGCAGGGCAGGGCAGGGCGAATGAACGAGGAATGGATGAACTAGCAGCAGGATGGGTACAAGTAGGAAACCCTAATTGGGCTGTACCCCATATGGGTTACCCCACTACAGCCTACACAATAAGCGGCATATCAAATTCACAGCGAGAATTCCAGGGAACAATAACGAGCCAACTATGCATTGGTGGGCGAGGCGAACACGTCAATGGAATGAGGCACCCAACGCCTCTCGAGCAAAAGGAACCAAGGACGCGCGAGAGAGTAGTCGTCGTGGAGTTCCAGTTTTGACAATGTATCAGCCTCGGTATTGAGCTCGCGCGGGATCCATTGAACTGTCAGTCGAATCTTGTGATGCACGCTGAGCTTGAATGATGGCCCAGCATACAATTGTCAGCTCAGAACGACGTGAGCCCCCTTTTCTCAGAATATAATAGGCTGCCTAGGCTGTCGCTGCGCAGAAGGATGTGGCAGCGCTGAACCTCGTCAGCAAAGGTGGAGAGGGCCCACAGAATTCCCGCTCGCGAAGCGTGCTGGACGAGGCGACAAGAGCCTGAGGTAAGTGTGATGAAAGCGAACCGACGCGGCCATCGGGTGCAGAATAGCAAGCCCCCCAAGCGCTATCGCTCGCGTCCACTTACATCACGATGTCGTACAGATGTGGGTTGTGAAAACACAAACCGTTGAACACATCGAACTGGGAGAGCCAGAAGCGCAACTCGTCAATTGACTCCCCGTTCAAGAGGACCGACTCTCCCCGAGATGAGCAATCTGAGATTTGTGAGAGTAGATTGTGTGAAGGCGCGTACGAGTGTGCCGAGGGCAAGCGCCATAGATGCAAGCATGCCAGTAATGCGAGCGATGCGTCGGACCGGGATGCGCCGCCCCCGTTCGCCAAGCGTGCAAGTCTGTTGGAGCTCGACAGTGCACGCTATTGGCGTCTTGGCCCCGCTGGGGGCAATCCGCAATCCCATGTCCAGGTTCGCGACATTAGAAGCAGCGCCCGTCACCGTCACGGTGCCACGTGTTCCAATTACGCTCTCCTTGGCCTCGACCACGAGGGGGAGGGTCGCTACGGGAGCTCGCATGGGTGGGGCAATTAGGTCTCTTTTTGTGAGCTGCCATGATTTGAGTGGCAGCCTTTACATTCTTATCTTCCACCACTTCGCCATATTCAATCTTTAAGGCCATATTGGCCACCTCAAAACCAAGTTGGTCGGCGGTGAAGAGAAAATTAATCAGTTCGTCCGCTTTGTCCACTATTTGCCGCTTGCTCGCCGCCGCTAGAAGGCAAAACAGAAATGGCGTGACGTGCAATGGCTTGAATACGCTAGAAACTAAACAGTTGCGTACGGATACCATCATTTTTCACTAAGGAGGAACGCAGCTGGGGGCGAGTAGGGGGGATGGGAGCAAGGCTGAAGGTGGTAGAGCCGGGTTTGGGACAAGCTGGCAATACCTTCATCCGAGTTTTCGATGGGTGTGTTGTCGCCCGCGTCGTCGCCATCGGGTTCGTTGGCCGGAGGGGGGAGGCGAGAGCGTGGTGCTGCCGCTACTGCGGGACGAGCACGTTCTGGAGGCGGTGCGGGATCGCCATTATTTCCTCGCTAGAAAGCAGCGAGGAGGCCGATGACATGATGCATGGCTTCGTTGTTGGCGGCAGCAGGAACTTCATTGTTGGTATAACGAACAGAATAATTTTCTGCTGCGTGGGGCGCTATAGATGCAGTAGAGTGCGCTGTAACGCGTTCGCCAGCTGCTCCCGTGAAGATTCGCTGGAGGTTTTGCTGGGCTGCTAGGTCAAGACGCGCGAGAATCTCGGCAAAATCCGCTACTGCAGAAGGCGAGATTCGACAATCCTGAGAAACGCGCGGATTCGCCGGGCGAGGTGCAGGATCTGGGCGTCGAGATTCTCGCCTTGGGTCTTGCTCCTGGCGGTCCGCACAACGGTCAAGATCGCGATCGCCGGCCCCACGCGCAGGACCCTCATGATTACGGTCCACGCGCGCAGTGTCGCGATCATTACGATCGCCACGCGCAGAACAAGAGGGTGCCACGCATGTGGCATTTTCGGTTGGTGCTGGGGCTTCCTCAGGACTGGGCGCGACATTTCCGTCAGGTGCATTTGTCTCGCCTCCGCGTAACCCGTCCGCACATCGTTCGCCGTGAAATCCTGGAGGAAAATCCTGTCTGGAAGATTCTTCGCGATCGCCTCCTGCGGCTCTCGGGCTTCAATGAGGGGCTTGCCGCATACGTTTCAATAAATCCATAGCAGTAACGGCAGCAGAATTTCCGCCGCAGGGAGAGTGAGAACGCTCACGGCGTGAAGAGGAGTCCCGATCACCATCGCGTTGGGGAGAACCACCACAACCACCACTCCGTAAATTCATTCGAGAAGAGGGAGGCCTTCCGCTAACAGCGAAAACAGGTCCGCCTGTCATGCTATTAAAACGGACAGCAATAACGTCTTCTAACAAGGTGCTCCTATGCCCAGATCTGGGCAAAGGAAGGGTTTAGTGTGTGCTGGTGGTAAACTAGACAAGTGAAAGTTGCAAATGAGACTAGGTGGCAGGTCCCATGGACCTGCCGAAAGGTAAAGGAGAATGTCTCCTTTACAGCAAACCCCTCTTCAAGTCGAATCACAATCTGTCAATATTTTTTGTTACAAAAAAACAAATTCTCATTCTCATTCAACTCTTCGTCAATGATTCAGTAACTTCTTCGCCTATTTCACCTATAGTCTTTTCGCCAAAGTCTTCCGCCGCGTTTCATCCTCGACTCAGTCAACCACGCTAATTCTTTAGCGGACTTAGGCCAGCGGGCCTAACAACAACGTCAAACCTCGCAGTGCACGATGCAGCCGCATGCTTTTCAGCTGCAGAAGAGGGGAGGGAGGAGGGGAGAGGAGAAGCAAGAGGTAGAACACAAGGTGGTAGCCGTACAGACGGGTACTCTTGAGCTCATCAAAGGTACTCTCGGCCTCCCTCCTTGTTGCAAACAACTTGTACCCCCTACTTAAAATGCATGGCAGCCGCATGCTCATGAGTTGGTGGGGAGGGGAGAGGGGAAGGTGGTTGTGAAGTGGAGGGCAGTCAGGCAGCAGTTCTGAAGGGAAATCCCTGTGCCCGCAGACTTGTGTAAGAACCGCATGCTCATGAGAGTTGAGAAGAAAGGGGAGGAGGGGGGCCAAGTCAGTAAGAGTGGTTATGAGAAGTGAAGAGCAAGACGGAAGGAGGCAGAGAAGGAAGGGAAAAGAATCGGAGAACAAGAATGCAGTTCCTAGCAACCTAAGAGGAAGGAGCAGGGTGGGGGCACAAAAACAACTGTTAAGGGGAAAGACCGTCATATTGTAAAGAATTGAAGCCCTCGAAGCTCTCACGACTCCTGCCACACCATTGCATGGAGGGGAGCACAGAGACTTCAATAGTGCTATACAGTAGAGAATATGTGAAGGCAATCACCTGCCAAGAATCACTCATAAATTTGTGCTACCCACTTCTCAAAGAAGTGTCATCGTACCTACCCAGCATTACTTGCATGCATCTGCCCACGAACAACTAATTTCGCCAGCCCACGTTTCTCACCTGCCCGAAAGGTGCGAAGAGCTGTTGAATGTCTCTCTTGGTGGCCTCAAATGGCTGGAGGGGAAGGCAAGGGAGAGGTGAGTGCAAGGAAGGATGGTCATGTCGTGGAGAGGGTGAGGGAGAAAGAGGGAGGCAAGGGAAGGAGATGGAGGTGAGAGAGGAAGAAAGATAGACCACTACATGTCTCCTTTGGTGGACTCAAATGGTTGGGGGAAAAGGCAATGGCGAAATAGGAGAAGGGAAGGTGAGAGAGAGGAAGATGGGAAAGGAAAGTGACTTTAGGAAACGCAAGGAAGGAGAAAACAAAAGAAAAAATATTCCCCAGACTCTCACCATCCGCCACCGCTATACAAAAACCCACACTAAAAACCTTAGTGTCTCCCTTGCACCCTTTCCAGCTTGCCACCTTGATAGCTCTGAGAGACTAACCGACCATCCACTAGTGTCCCTCAACTTACCACATTCCGCAAAATCATTTTCGTAGAACTCTCCTTCCCCTTGCCCCCTGCTCCTGCTGCCTCCCCCTTCCCCTCGCCCGCCTTCGCCTCTGCCTTGCTCAGTTGCAGCAGCAACGCATGTCCATCCAACACAGTGCCCTGTGGATAGAATAGAATACAATTGGGGTAGGAAGGAGGAAGAGAGTAGAAGACAATTGTTTTTGAATGGTGGAGGGAAGGGGAGGGAAGGGGAGGGGAGGGAAGGTTGTGTGCAGTTGTTCTTGCCCCACATCCCCTCTCCCCAGTATATGTCAGATGTGCATGCATAAGGCATGTGGAGCGCACCACACAAACCCACACAAGCTTGCATGAGATGAGATGTGTGCTGGATGTGCGTGGAAAAATGCAGCAAGTATGAGATCAAACAAAAACCATGAAATATGTACCAACTATGTGAGGGTCAATGCATACGGATCTGATGACTACACCACACGACTCACCTGCAGGAGCTTGCATGCATGGTGTGCAGTGATCCACGACCTAAACAATCATGTACCGTGATGAAATATGTACCACATGTGCATGCATACGCATTCACTCATGCATAACGAAATGAGGACCACGCCACACGACTCACCTGCAGCGCGGTGTGCAGCGAGCACTGAGCCAAACTCCATGAATCCGAACCCCATGGATAGCTGCGTGCCGTTCCGCACCCGCTTCTTTATCTGCCGGGGGTTGACATGCAAGGTGGGCGAGGGAAGAGCAGCGTTACATGACTGTCGGGTCAAGGGGCCTTCTTAATCTGCCCCAGGGGCTGAGAAACAAGCAGAATTGGTACTTGGAACATGTGCATGCCAGTGAAACACGAAGGTCAAAGATGCGTATGCCAGTGTCTTGCCTCGTGTCTGTTTCCTTGGTTCATGAGCACAAAATTCCCCTTCTCCCCACCTCCTTCCCCCGCTCTCCACACCACTGCCTCAGTGCCAATTTGCGACTGTGACACTGCGAATTGCTGGGCCTTCTTTGAGAACCATACAGTGGATTCATGAATGAATCACGCCGAGCACAGTACCCCGCACAGCCTCGCTGCAAATCTTCCATGCATACAGTATAGTGGATCCACATCTCACCGTGATGCTACGAACCGCTGGGCCCTTCCCATCCGCTCCTGCTTGCTTGCTTCTGAGGAGCTTCTCCAAGTGCTCCTTAAGCTGCGCCTCTGTTGCGGAAAAGCTTAGGTTCTTCACAAACACACTGTGGCTCGTGGGCTGGCATGGTGGGTACAGAAGGGAAAGGGGAGGGTGGGAAGCGGGGAACAGGACGTCAGGCAAGATTAGGTTCTTCACAAACACACTATGGCTCGTGGGCTGGGAAGGTGGTGGCCAAGGGGGGGGCAGGCGTAAGGAGGGAGGACAAAAAGGCATTGGGAAAAGAAAGGAAGGGATGTGAAGCTTAGGTTCTTCACAAACACATTGTTGGCTCATAGGCTGACATGGTGGTGGCCAACGGGGTCGAGTGAGGGGAAACTACAAGTGCGGAGGGAGGGAGAGAGGAGACAGGAAGGCAATGGAAGAGGAAAGGGGGGGGATTGAAGCTCAGGTTCTTCGCCACTGTGTCTTGTAGGCTGGGATGCAGGGAGATGGGGGAAAAGGTACGCGGGGGGGAGGGGGAGACGGGGAGCCAGGAAGGCATTAAAAGGGAAAAGGGCAGGTGGTGAAGCTCAGGTACTCAACACACAGCCCACGAACCACAGTGGTGGCCAAAGGGGAAGAGAGAGGGCACTGTTCAACTCAGTTCAGCCCCCACCACCCACCACGCTCCACCCATATCCAGCCCACCACCATTGTTTGATCCCTCAGATTCTTTCTCTCAAAGACTCACCAGCCCGTTCCCCCCCACCTCCTAGGCTCACCTGCCCATCCTCCTCCCCCTCCACCGCATGTGCCTCACCCTCCTGTCCTCCCCCCTCTCACCCCTCCACTCCCCCCACCAACTCCGCCTCAGCAACCATGCGCATGGCTGCCTTCCCATCCACCACCAGCCTCAGCAACCCACTGCTCCCTGCTTCCTCACAGACAGCTCTTAACACCTTCCCACCCTTTTCCCTTCCCTCTGTTCATCCCCTCAGCTATCCCCTTCCTGGACTCACCTGTCCGTCCTCCTCCCCTTCTACTGCATGCCCTTCCGCCCCCTCTCCTCCCCCATCTCTCCCCCCCACTCCCCCCACCATCTCCGCCTCAGCAGCCATGCGCCTTCGCCGCCTTCCCATCCACCACCACAGGTAAAAGCCCCACCGCTCCCTGCTTCTTTATACTCTTCACTCCACCTCCCTCCTTCCCTTCCCTTGCTCCTCCCTCTCCTGCCCCCCTGCCCGCCTCCCTAGATGCTGCTGCTGCTACAGCTGCTGTTATGTTTGCCTGAGCTGGTGCGTCTGACGGTGCTAGCGAGTTCTAGGAAGATTCCTTCTGGTGCCCATTCGAGGTAGAGTGGCACGTGCCTAGTTGGTAGACCAAAAAAAAAAAAAAAAGGTCAAGGAGGTTGAAGGGTGTTGAGAACGGTGCAAAGGGTGAAGGAGACTGGAGGTTGGAGTTAAAGATAATCCATAAATCAAAATAAGGAATGCACGGAAGCATCAGGCTAGGATGGGCTAAGGTTTTGCAAGCCGCGCTAACATTAACCACATTGCGTTAGTTGGCGTTTTCGCCAACGCTTATTAGACGCACTAGGTTAGGCTGGACAAGCTGAGCAAATCACTAGGTTAAGTTGCTAAAAGCACTCATTTGAATCACTTATAGAACATAAAATAATCGTACCCTATACGAGCAACTCACTGGTATCTTTTATAAGCAAGGCCTTTAAAGGCCCTCTTGGCATCAGCAGAATCAGCCATCTCCACCTGACCACGGGAACGATGGGGGGGGAAAGGGGGGTTGGGGGGGAGAGGAGGTATTGGGGGATGGGTGAAGGGAAGGAAACGTGGCCTTTGAAGGCCCTCTTGGCATCAGCAAAATCAGCCATCTATACCTGGCCATAGGAGTGAGGGACGGACAAGCTTGGTGCACACCGAGCATGCAAGCTGCTGCACGTGAGTTGTGCGTCGTGGTCTCATGTACTAATGCATTCTTCCACGCACATCCAGCACACATCCCATGCATGGTTGTTTGGATTCGTGGGTGTGTTACAGTTCACATGCCATTTCGCATGCATGCATGCATGAGCATCCGTCACATACCGGGGAAGGGGAATGGGGGGCAAGAACAACCGCACGAAACCTGCTACCTATCCCTGCACCATTCTGAACACGTGCCTTCTAATCTTTTCCCCCCTCTTACCCCAACTTCCTTCAACTCTTTCCAGGGCACGGTATTGGATGGGCACGCGTTGCTGCTGCAGCTGAGCAAAGGGGAGGCAAAGGGGGGCGAGGGTAAAGGGGAGGCAGCAGGGGCAAGGCGCAAGGGGAAGGAGAGCTCAACCAAAGTGATCGTGTGGAATGTGGTGAGTTAAGGGGAAGGGGAGGGTGGTGGGGAGGGAGCGGGGTGTGAAAAAGCGGGGCGCAAGGGGAAGGAGAGCTCAACCAAAGTGATCGTGCGGAATGTTGTGAGTTGAGGTGACACTAAGGAGTGGGCAGAATACGCTGGCTGTTTCTTCTGCGCTTCCGAAGGGGCAGAGGGGGTGAGGGTGCAAAGGAGACACTACAATGCTTCTACTGGAAACAAGAATTGAGGGAATGGACAAATTCAGAAGGGTTAAAAAGAGGAGAGCTAATAAAGGTTATGGTTTGAAATATGGTGAGTTGGGGGGTTTGGAGTGCTATGCAACGGGGTCAAAGAGGCAAGAAAATAACGAGTGTGCGCTTTCCATCCCTTACCCATTACCGAATTGCCTGCTTTTGTTTCTTCATTCGTTTTCTCCGTTGCCACTTTCCCAACCATTCAAGGCCACAAAGCGGGACACTCAGCAGCACCACATTTCTCCATCTCTTTCACTTCCATCTTACTCTCCCCCCGCCCATCTATCCCTGCTCTCAATCTCCCTTTCTCCTCCAGACATTTGAGGCTACTAAGAGGGACATACAACAGTTGTTTGCACCTTTTGGACAGATGAGCTTTGTGGGCTGGTGAAATCATTACTATGCAAGTAATAAACATAATAGCAACAGGTGAAGTATCCTGGCAGTTGTTTACTCGCATATGTAACTTTCTCACATGATTACTCTCACATCAAACTTGGGTCTTTCGAAGAGAAAAGGCCCCGCCCTCGCTTGGGCAAAGTCGACCATGCATTTCGGAACAAGACGGTGTTCATTTCGTAGTCATCGGCGACTTCGAGGACTTTTATCTTGTCAGAATCCCAACCACTAGACCATTGGGATAAAAGGGCTTGTTTCAGTAGCGGGTGAGTGCGCCCATAACCCCCCAGGCGAACGCGCCTGTAACCCTCTCCAGGATCAATCGGGCATCCACAGTGCAGATCTACTGACACCCCCCACACTGGGAGGCCCAGGACTAAGCACAGCGGCAACGGCCTACATGTGCATACACCGGGAATCGAACCCGAGACCGCTCTGATACCATGTCAGAATCCCAACCACTAGACCATTGGGATTAAAGGGCTTGTTTCAGTAGCGGGTCAGTGCGCCCATAACCCCCCAGGCAAACGCGCCTGTAACCCCCCCCTAGGATCGATCGGGGATCTCACAGTGTAGCTCTACTGACATATCTGTGTCCGACGAGTCGTTTATCGACGAGATTAATTGGTCGAGGTAGAAGTGTTTCCTCTGCTCGATCAAAGTCATCGTCTAGTAGGAGCTCGTCGACGCGAGTAAAACGGCGTCAAAGACGAGCCTTTTTGATAGACGGAATCGGCACAATTGGTGTTTCGACGGATTGCTGGTCGACATAATTTAGTTCGACGAGTGTTTCGTCGAGCAGATCGATTCTGGTCGACCAGAATTACTTAGCTCCAAAATTTGCAATGTGCGCGAATTTCGCCCAATCACGGAACAACAAATTTCGACCAATCAGGTAATTTCGGAAATTGTACTCCCCATGAGAATTCGATTCAGTAAGGAAACTGAACCCGAAACACGTTTTTACTAACAGTAAAAACGTGCACAACTATGAACGTTGTAAACCTGAGCAACTACCAACTCATGTGAAATATGCATGTGTTTGTCGTTTCACCTGCCGTTGCTGACTCGACAGATTCAAGTGCTTGTCGAGGAACGTTTCTACAGGGTTCGTTGTCTTGGCTATTTGGTTCTCTTTGCTTGTACCATAATCTTGTCCTAATGAACTTTTGCTAGTGGAACTATGCTTGAGTTCTACCAAGGCAACTTAGTCTACTTCTGAGAATCACTGCCATAACTCTGACCGTGTGTCCCACGCTAGTCAAGCTCTCTCGTAGAATAGTATTCTCCGCATGGTGAGGTGAGCGTGGACGGCCCCGCGTTAGAAATTTCAGATAGCCGACTTCTGCGTTCATTACCTAGGAGCGTGTTCCTACGGGCCCCTATCAGGCCAGCCCCTTGTCAGACTCGCCTCGAACACCAGAATTTCGGAAAAAACGCATTGTGTATTAGACGGTTTGATCGTTTGTGAAGTGCGCGATAAAATGCGTTGGGTGACGTGGCACTGCGCAACGGTCCCGAAAGGTTGCAAAAGAACAAGTTTCCGAGTTCAGACAAATTTCAGGCGATTGAAACGTGTGTTTGGCGGAAAATTATCTGTATGCTTCATACCCGACAAAACAGCATGTTTGAATAATTTCGCACGATTCCCTGACCGTGGCTCGCTGAAACAGCACGTGTGAAAGATTTTGCGCGATTGCCTGACAAGGGTCACTGCACAGCATGTGTCAAAGATTTTGCGCGACCAATTCATCGAAAAGCATTGTAATTCTTCAAGTCTGGAAGACGGTGTTAATAACGAAATCGCTCACATGCACCAGCCTGACAAGGGGTTAGCCTGATAGGGGTCCGTAGGAATACGCTCTAAGTTGTTGCTAGGCCGGCAGCCATCTTAGTCACCATGGTCGACCCCGTCGTTGAAACGGGCGTATAAGATACCCTGGAGGCGAGAGAGGCTGATGTTCGGGCACGCCACAAGGCTGGCGGGTACGGCGAGGCGGACTTGGAGATTCTGCTCCTTGGAACTCGTGCGCAGTGGGCGCATGAGCATCCCCCTCCCCGTGCAGAAGCGGACGACGCGTCCGCCTCTCCCCTGCCCGTGCACAACAAAGGTGATGGCGGCAATGTCGTCGGCGGTGGAAGCATGAGGGTTCGCGGAGTGATTCGGCCCGCCTACGTCAGCATTGGTGGAGTGCAGACGCAAGTGATGCGATCGTCTGCAACTGGAGGCAGCTCGAACGGCAACATCGATGGTCGATGTTTATTTCCTCTGCGGAGTGGAGTCAGGCGGACTTCGGTGACTCATGCGTTGGCTGGTCGAGACGGAGGCATCGCGCCGACATACGGATATTTTAAATTCTCGCCGGACAAGATCGCTGTGCCGAAGCCGCTCGAAGGTCGTCATGACTTGATCACGTGGATTGAATCCATTGAGCCGCAACTGGAGATCACCAGATTAAAGAAGTTCGTCGACGACAATGTTGCGACGCCGGACGCAGACGACTTTGAACTCTGGACGGAATTTCGCGCTGCTTATCTACTGACCTTCATGATTATTCCGAGGTGTTATTCGCCTCTGGTGCAGGTCACATTGAAGTCGTGCAGACAACGGGTGGATGCTGGCTACCAAGCGTGGCAGTACATCATGCGCACCTACAAAGCGACCGATGACCTCTACATAAGTCAAGTGGGGAAGAAGTTGACCAACATTCGGATGGGTGAGCAGGAATCGGCGACCGAGTACTGCGATCGAGCGCGGCGAGTTTTGGCCGATCTGCAGATGGCCGGCGTCGACTACTCGGTGACGTCGTATGTCACTCATGTCATCAGTGGCCTCCCCTCGGGCTACAATCTGATGTGCCGGATGCTGACAATTCCCGGCACGCGTGAGACTCTGAACGAGGATTCTCTTTCGAGCCATATAATCCAGGACGAGTTCATGCAGGAGTCTGAGCGACCTGTAGAACTGCTTCCGTAGGCCAACTACGTCGCCCCGACGAAGCAGGGACGCCAACAGGGGCAGCGTGGGAAGTTTGGCGGAGGCGGTGGTTGGAAGTCGTCGAACACGAAATCGACGGAGGGCGCCGATCGCGGGAAGTCAGCGAAAGGTGGAGATCGCAGCAGCAGTGGCTCACGTCGAG